ATTTGTGATCTCAGTCCTGTCGAACTTGCCCGAGAACAAAAGCCCGTCTCTCAGATGTCCCAGAGTCCCATAGCCAGAGCGGGATGAGGGTGGGTGGCCGGAAGTCCCATATTTCCGATGGGGAAAATGAGGCTCAGAGAGGGGCGCGCTCTTGCAGGAGATCACAGTCCGAGTCAGTGGTGTAGCCGACTTCAGAACCCGAGGGCACTACTTGCTGGTCCCGAGGCCCTAACTTGTCTGTTGAGGGTAGGGTGCAGAAAAAGTTCACCGACCGGCCTGGGGTGGGAGGGGGGGCTGGCTGGGGCCCCCAGGGATGGGGAGGATTTCGACTGGCTGTGAGAGGGCACCCCCTTACCATGCCAGGCTTCCCTGGCGACCCTTCGGGTGTCCTCTCTTCACTGCATGAATGAGGCTAGGGTGACCCTCCCTTCCTTCACCGTCTGCCTCTCGGGCCCTGGGGGTCCCGCAGCCCAGACAGGTCTTTGGACTGGGCCGGTGTGTAGGCCTCTCCCTAGGCTTGGAGGCCAGATCATCTTCGATGTCTCCTCCAGCTCCGAGATCCGGAACACTGTCTCCTCACAGCTCATGGGGCTGGCTGCTTCTCCCGCATCAGGTCTCACTGGGATGCCACACACCCCAGAGAAGTGACCTTCACAGCTGGGCAGGGTTCCCTCCTCTGTGCTCCGCAGCCCCAAGTGTGGCTCCAGGATGACACTTATCACTGCGTTTTAATTAGCTGATTTACTTGTTGATCTGGCCCACGTGACTGTGAGCTCCCTGAGATTAGCATCTGTGGTCACTGCTGTATCCCCAGTGCCAAGTGAGGCTTGGCCCAAGTAAGAGCTTTGAATCAGTCACAACCAGCTTTAAAATTTGGGTGACTTCTGGAATGCTACAGAGGACAGCATGTGGAGACTCCAGGCCTCCTGAGGGGTTGTGTGGAGGCTCTCCGTGTGTTATCTTCACTTGGGGGGCGGAGGCACACAGAGATCGGGTCTGAACCGGGCATGACGTGCTCCTGCTGGCAGCATCTGTCTCTTTCGGTCGTCCAAGCCCATCACAAAGCTGAGAGGGACTTTTTTCCCCCTACCACTTTGTACACTGATTTTTCACTAAGCATTACTGTGTTCCAAAGGAGCAACCTTTTTTTAGCCTACAGCCCAATTCCTTCCCTCTCTGTCTCAGGAGAATTTGAGCTCAGCCAGGAGCCACCTTTTCCCTCCCCAGGTGTGCACAGAACAGAGGAAGGGACTGAGAATCAGCCTCCAGGGTTTACAAAAGGGGCCATGAGTGGGCATCAGCACTAAGAAAGGGTGGGGACAATGCGGTGCTGTGGCAGGGACAAGGCCTGGTAGTCTGGTCCCTTCTGGCTTGTCCAAAGCCCTGAGGATTCCTGCCACCTCTGAGCTCATTAAAGGCCCAAGGTGACTTGCCTTTCCCAGAGCCTGGCTAAGTCAGCTCTTCTGAGTCAGGGGCAGAGAGTGAGGGGTGGTCCCGGCCTGGAGACGTTGCTGGCCTGTGGCTTTAGAGAGGCTGGGGAAACGCTCGGCACCTCCCAGTGTCTAGCTCCCTAGGAAGGCCTATATACCTACTTTCTCATTTGATTCACAACCCCATTTGCAGCTGAGAAAACTGAGGCACAGTTGTTTGTCCTCAGGCATGCCTGTTAGAGGCTACCTGACTCTAGGGAGGTTAGAACTTGGGCTCTGAGGTCAGAGCTGCCACCTCGTAGGTGTGAGACTGGCAAGAAACTGCCCTTCTGGGCATCCGTTTCCTCCCCAGGAATCTGGAGTAATAACAGTGGTGGTAATTCTGGTAACTACAGTCAGGACTTTGAGAACCTGGCCACCGACATCTCCCCCACCCCCAGCATGTCACCTTATACATCCTGCTTCCTTCTGATGCCGTCTGTGACCCCGACTTCAACTCAGTAAAACAAACAAAAGCCAACATGCCAAAACAAACAAAAACTGCAACATTTAATTTTTTTCCCCCCAAACCAAGACACTGACACTAGGCTGATTTCCCTTTACAATGTTATTTTCTACAATAGAAGCTGGGACAGAGATACAAACACAGCCCACTGAATCAGGGGGTGGTGGTATAACATTGTTAGAAAGGAGGGGTGTTAAAAAAAAAAAAAGACCTCCCCTCCCCCCATCTCCCTGCTCACCTCCCTAAAGAGAGGAAGCCATGGACATTCTCAGTCCTGGCAGATCATGCCATGTGGTCAGTTTGTGGGGTGACCAGGAAAAAAAAAAAAACAAACTAAAAATATTGTAGACCTTTATTTCTTTTCTTTAAATCTCCTAGTAAAAACGTTAAACTGTCTTTCAAGAAGATTCCAAACTGGCATTGCATAGACCAATTCCTTTCCAAAAATATCTCTAATATACTCTTTCTATCTCTCTCTCTATATATAGGATTTTAAGTCCAGAGCTGTGGGCACCTAATGGGAATTCACTGAGCTTGAGGGGACCATAGGGCCGAAGAATGAGCTCCCACGTGGGGATGAGGCCAGGGGCTCCAGGCCTCCGGCTCCAGCCAGCATTAATTTGGTTGTGGCCGAATTCTGTTAGTCCAATTACCCTGGCCCAGGGCCTAGCGTGGGAGGGTGTGGCAGGCTCTGTCTCCTTCTGGGGTGACTGTCAAGTTCAGACCTCGCCTAGGGTGGGGCTGGGGTTCTTGGTTTGGGGAATTCTCCCCAACAGCACCAAAGCCAGCTATTTTATGTCTAAAGCCCCAGAACTTTGAATGAGACCCCAAATACACCCTGAATGCCTCTCCTCACTGGGCTGAGGTCATGAAGATAGAGAAGGGAAGGACAGCATTCCCCCATCTTCTGGGGGTCACTTCAACTGGAGACAGTGCGGCCAGCTCCCTTTTAAAGTGCCAGGTGTCTGTGGGGCAGGAAGGGACCCGCAGAGCTGACCAGAGCCTTCTCCAGCCAGAGCAAATGCTCCGTCCTGCCTCAGCAGGCACCTTCTAACATTCATTTTCTAAAAGTTAGGTAATTAAAAACAACAACAAAAATCCTAGAAATGCTCTGGTCCCAACGCCAGGAGGTTCCAACACCAAGACTCCAATTCTTGCCAGTGGGGCAGAAGGGCAAGGACCCCTCCCAGCCTGGGGAGGAGACACCCCCATCTGCCCCCACCCAGATCCCCAGCCCTGCTGGGGCCCAGCCAGCGGGTAGGGAGAGAACAGAACCACCTCCCCTCACCTGGGGGAGGAGAAGGTACCAAACCGTGAACTCTCAAAACGAAAAGAAAAAGAAAGGAAGGAAGGAAAGGAAAAAAGAGGAAAAAAAGAGGCAAGAAAAGGAAAAAGGTATAGGGCTAAGTAAACACCAGCCTGCTGGGTTTATACAAAATGAGTGAAATTTAAGAGCGGCAGGGGGTCTGTCCAGGGACTGGCTGGCAGTCAGAACCCACCTTCAAGCAAGTAACAAGGACTAGGATGGGAAAGTGCTGAGAGCAGAGCATTTAGGGAGGGGCGGGGGCGGGGCCAAACTGCCCCCCGCCCCCACCGCGCGCTGGGAAAACCCCATTAATGGACCCCACTTCGCCCTTGCCCAGAGAGGGGATGCTTTCAGAGGATGGCTGAGGCTTTTCTGGCCAGGAAGCCAGCTCCAGGCCAGGCCAGTCACAGCCCACCTGCCTCTCCAGCACTGGCCCTGGCCTGGGCCAGCTGACCCTGAGGGAGAGAAAGGGCGCTTTGCCTGCCAAGCCCAGCCCAGCCAGGCCACTGACCTCCAAGGGCTTGGGAGGCACCTGCCCTGGCTTCCTACTGGAAGCCAGCTGCTCAGGACCCAGTCCCGGGCAGGGGGGAAACACCATCCACGCTCAGACCTTTCTCAGCATGGGGCTCAGGCCTGAGCTGGAGCTAACTGGAGTGGGAGGGGCAGTGGCCACGTTCCAGCCGGGCTTCGAGGGCTGGGCTGCTGACTGCACAGCAGGCAGCACCCAGGAATCCTTGGGGAGGGCTCAGAGCACAGGCAGGTGAGGGCCAGAGCGCTGTGCTGGAAACAAGCGTGTGCAAAGTGCAGGCTGCCAGGGCAGCAGGAGAACATTCGTTGCAGGGGGGGTGGGGTCTCAATCTGGAGTGTGGGTGGAGTTTGAGGTCTTGGTTCCCAGGAGGAGGCTGCCAGCAGGTCCCCCAGGACACAGGGAAGGGACAGCTGAAGCACTGAGCAGTCAGAGGGCCATGGTGGCAGGATTCCAGGGGTGGACTGGCCCCCCAAGGGCAAGGGAGCAATGGAGCAAGGCCCTGCCAGGGCCACTGGCTGGGCCAGTGCTCCTGGAGTGAGCAGGGACACAGAACAAGAGGCCCCTCAGCCACAAGCATCCTTGCATGTGCAGGAGCTGCTGCATGTCCTCGCCAAGGGGCCAGGTGGGTGTCCAGAGGGGCAGTCCCCGCCGCGTTTGTCTGGCCCCACCTGCTTCACGGGCCCATGTGTCCTGCCCTCTAGTGGTTCAGAGGAGAATATTCACAGTGGTGCCCGGGGCCCTGGCGGACCATGAGCGTCCCAGCAATGATGGGAGGTCAATGGAATGATGCTTTGGGGCTGGAGTGCATGGAGCAGGCACAGATGAAATGCGGCACGGATGGTGATCCGAAGGGGAAGGTCCCTTGTGGAATGACTTGGGTCTGGACGCCTGTGAAGGCAGGGCCCTTCTCCAGCCTGGACGCCCGCTCCTCAATGGCTTTCAATCACGACTGGCTCATAGACCCCAGAGGAGACCCTGCGGGGAGAGACAGGTCAGCTTGTCATCCTTGATGGTCCTTTGCGCCAGGTCCTTTGCACCAGGTCCCTGGGAGTATCTCACAAGCAGGCCCCACTTTGCAGAGAAAGAAACTGAGGCTCAGAGAAGTTGAATCACTTGCCCAGGGCAACACAGATGTTAAGTATCGGAGTCTATAGGAGTGCAGAGCTGGCACAGACCATGCCCCAAGCCCTCCTGAGCACCGGCAGCTCTCACGCTGGGGTGTGCTGCGCCCCTCCTCATGACAACTCTGGCAGGGAGGGTCTGCAGCTAGCCCCACTTGACAGGTGAAGAAACTGAAGCTCAGAGGGATTATGAGGCTTTGCTAAAAGCGCGGGAGAAGGTTGGGGAGCTTGACCGGCTCTTCTCCCCGCTGAGGGAGGCCAGGGCCACCCCTGGGATTGTGGACATTCAGGGCTCAGCATACAGCTCTGCAATGACCTTGCTGCCAAATAGATTGGTTCTTCCCGTCCTGCATCTCAGTTTCCTCATCCTCAGAGGGGGCTAGAGAGGGATGTCACAAAGCCCCAAGGAAGTGCCCTCTGTTTCCTTCTTGCCCACCCCACCCGGGGCAGCAGAGGCGGCCATGGAAAGATGGCAGTTGCAATATCAAGCCTCAGCCAGTAGGGGTCAGCAGAGCAGCACCAGAGGGCAGGTCTGGAGACCGTGCATGGCCCAGCAAAGCCTCCTTCTCGCACCGGCCGGAGATGGGGCCCACAGGAACCAGGGGAAAAGGCTTCAGCACAGCCCCGCAGGTGGGAAGCTCTACTACTCACTCATTCATTCATTCATTCAGTGAGCCAGGCACACAGCAAGCATGCTGTAAGTGAATGATCATGAGAGGGCACTCTAAAACTGTAGAGTTCAAGTCCAAGTTTGATCCTACCACCTCCTCGTCTCTGAACATCATGCAGCAGAAATCTGTGTTGCTCACTGCCGTATCCCCAGCACCTAGGGATAGCTCAGTACCTGGTGTGTAGCTGGTGTGCAATAAATATTTGTTCAATAAATAAACGAGTCATCATCATCATTTTTTTAGGAGTTCCCAGATCCAGGAGGAAGGGAAAGAAAAGTAGAATCCAAAATAAAGATGTATTAAGCCCCTGCTATGTGCCAAGCCTTGTGCTAGGCACTTACCAAGGTTCCTCAGAACCCCCAAAATCAAACCCAGGGCCTTCGTCCCAGGTTTCCGGGTAAGGTGGTGTGGTCCACATCATTTGACAGATGGGGAAACTGAGGCTCAGAGAGAAGTGACTGGTCCAAGGTCACACGGACAAGAGCTGGCATTCAAAGCTAGGTCAGTGGGCTGCAGAGGCCATATCCTCTCACCACTATGCCCCAGAGCATAGTCACACTTGTGACCCACCCAGAACCTTCAGCCCTACCTGTTGGCCAGCTGGATGCCACTCAGGGTGGTGGAGCCATCACGGCTCACGAACAGCCGGAGGTTGCTGTCTGTGGGGACACAGGGAAGGATGGGGGCTGAGTGGGGCGGCGCCGCCAGGGAGCCCCTGGGCATCGTCCCTGGCCCGCCGGCGCGGGCAGCTCACCCTCAGTATTGCTGCCGTCCGTGAAGTCCTGGCTCTGCATGATCTTCTCCACGATGTCGTCAGCGTCAATCCGCGTGTCATCCACCCAGGTCGGGTGGCTCTCCACAGAGTCCTTCTTCCTCCTGGGGCGGGGCGGGGCAGAGTCACAACAGTCAGGGCAGCAACAGGCACGATGACGACAGGACCAAGCACCTACAGCACTCAGGATGCTCAAAGTGCGCGTGAGAGCTGGTCCAGACTGTCTTCATTTAACCTTCACATCAAACCCTACGTGCGGATGCTGCTACGACCTGGTTTTACAGAGGAGGCCACGGATGCACTGAGAGGTTAAGTATCAGCCTCTGAGAGGCTGCAGAGCAAGGGAGCAGGCAGGGACAGAGGGGAGACAAACCGCACGCAGCAACTGCTCACTGAGCATGCGTGCCAGGCCGGGGCGCCGCACCTGTGAGCGTCAGCTGGTTGAATAGCCACGCCCACACCACTGCGGCCGGGGCCCCCTTGTCCCCCTGTTACAGGTAGAGAAACAGAGGCTCAGGGAGCCACCGTCGGGGTCTGCTCTCCAGGAGCACGTACGGTGAGACTTACCGAAACGAGCGGTCCGACAGATGTGGGGGCCAGGGTGGCCGCGGCGGCTTCTCGGGGGGCCGGTGCTCACGCTCGCTGCCCTCGGGACCCTCCACAGCTATGCTGAGGCCGCCCGAGGCGCTGCTGCTGGTGGACGTGTTCCGGCGGTGCGTCAGGTCCGAGAGGCTGGAGGAGCACGAGTGCTCGGTGCTGTAGCCTGGGGGGCGGTCGGGGACGTTGACTACCGGGAGCCGGGGGGCCGGGGAAGGTGGAAGGCCAAGGGCAAGGGGCCGGGTGGGCACTCACCAGAGATCTTGGACTGCTGGCTGGCGTAGCTGGAGTTGCGGGAGTGGCCGGAGTGGAACACCTCCTCGGGGCTGGAGAGGTTCTGGTCCGGCTCCTCTGGCACCCCTGGAAGCCAGGTAGGGGCAGGGGTTACCAGTGTGCCCGCCCTCGCCCTTGCTCCTCCTCTCACTGAGTGTGGCGGGGGTGGGGGTGGGGTGGAGAGCACATTATGTATTTCCATTTAAGAGACTGAAAAGCTGAGGTCCAGGGGAGCAGCAACCTGCCCAGAGCCGCAGGTCACCACTCAAACCCAGGGTCATTCCACAAATATCTGTTGGGGACGTCCTCCACGCTGGGCGCTCTACCGGGTGCTGGCAACAGGAGACATGGTGTCACAGGCACCAGTGGTGGGAAAGAAGAATGTTGAACAAAAATGACCCACGATTAACCACAACTGGCGAATGGCGCAGAGTCGGGAGCATATGGGGGGGGGGGGTCTGACCCAGTCTGGAATCAGGGAAGGCTTCTCTGAGGAGGTGGCCTTAATGCGAAACCTTCAGGATGTGTGGAAGGGAGCAAGCCAGAAGGGAGCAGCATCAGGGGAAGGGCCTTCCAGACAGAGGGAATGGCATAAGCAAAGGCCCTGAGGCTTGAATGGGCTTGGGTCTGTGTAGCTGGAGCGGAGTGAATAAGGGGGTGCGGGAGGCAGGGAACACACTTTCGGGCAGTGACAGCAGGAGATTCCAGGGAACCAGGTGGGGTCTGCCCAGGGCTCCATGAGTAACCCCACCACCACCCACCAGTCCTCCTGGTCAACACAGGAAGCAAGGACTCATCCATCCTCTCTTCAGAGATGAGCACACCCAGGCCACTGGATGGACCTCAGGCCTGCCTGTGTCCCCACCCAAAGCCACACGGCTTTTCAAGTTGGCAGGTTCTCCACATCTGAGGGGTTGCAGAAGAGGGAGAGCGAGAGGCAGCAAGCCAGCGATGGAGGCTTGTGGGGGCTCAAATCCCACCCCCCGTGGGAGAGGCTCCTCTTCTACTTTGCACAAAAGGCCCCATGTTTGCTGGAGGGGCCTGGTCCCCAGATCTCTCCTCTGGGGAGCCCCCATTCCTGCATGCAGCCCCCGGCTCTGGGCCACACTAGGCTGGGTGTGCAGGAAAAACGGGAGTGGAGGGAAGCTGGCCCTTGGGGTCAGAGGGTCCCTCACTGCTCCCATGCCCTGGGGGCAGAATCACCCAGCAAACAGGGCCTGAGGCCTGTGCCCTAACTGCTCTCGCGGCATAAACTAGGGCCGCCGCGTGCCGCCTTGCTTACTGATCAGCTAAGGGGCAGTCCTCCCCCGAGCTCTGAGCTCACCCCCAGGGAAGGGGTGCAGAGGCCAAGGCTCATGCTCGGAGGGGCCTGCTTCGCCCCGCACAGCACCCAGGGTTGGGGGGTGGTGCAGGCTGGAGCCTTCTCTCCTGGTATCACCTCCCCCTCTTAATTGCCACACTGATTCCTCTGGGGATTCAAGCTCATTTGCATTTTTCATAATATTAGTAATAATGATAATTTAACAAAACACGTGCTGGGAAATACAGAGGACATACTATGTGCCAGGCAAGGCGCGCCCGTACGTTTGCTCAGTTCATCCCCAGAGCAACCCAAGATGTGATTGCTACTGCTGATCCCATTTTGCAGAGGAGGACGCTGAGACCTGGAGAGGCAAAACGGCCAGTCAAGGTCACGCAGCAAGTAGCAGAGCAGGAGCTCACAGGACATCTCTCTGCCAGGAAAACTGCACACCACACCCCAGATTCAGCTCAAATGACACCCCTTCAGGGAGCTTTCCCCAGTCGTCCCCAGGCGGACACCTTCTGTGTCTCTCTGACACCTCTCGTCACAGCTGTAGGTGGACATGCATTTGACATATTTATTATCTCACTGACACCTGTCTCTCCTGCTAGGCCAGGGACCCGGTTAGTCTCGGTCCAGGGCGCTGCTGTGATCCTGAGGCCACGCACAGAGCCCGGATCACAGGAGGGGCTCAGATGCCTGCCTAATGGAAGCGTGGGTGGGTGCCCGCCATCCCACTAGCCTTCCCTTCTCAGCAAGCATCCCCCTTGGGACCTAGGGATATGGGGAGGTAAAAGCCTTCAGCCATGGGAGGGGTAGGGAGGGCAGGTGAGGAACAGTACCTGAGCTGAGGATGGTGGGCCGGGCCTTGGGGGGCCGGGACCCTGTCAGGGAGTTGGTGCCACTGCCACTGCTGCTGGTCCCGCCACCCTTACACGTCAGCTGCAGGGAGGAATCCTGGCCTGGGATGGAGATGGACTTGGCAGTGGACGGCGGCCTTGGGAAGACAGATGGGTGTGACCGGAGTGCCCCACTTTGGGGTCGGAGAAGACAGGGGAACCCAAGAGCCTGGAGGAGGGGACAGTCCCTTGTCCCCCCTCCCCATGTCCAGGACAGAGCCCCCACCCCTCCAGCGCCCTGCACCAGCACTCACGTCTTGAAACAGGGGTCTCCAGAGAGCAGGAACATTCCAATGGTGACCTGTGCAAAAGCCCGAGGAATCAGCCACGCCCCATCCACCCCCCAGCCCAGGCGCCCGGCCTCCCTGTGGCCTCCCTGCTCTGGCTTCAGATGCGCTTGGACTCTGATCCTATCTCTGTCCCTTGCTGGCCCTGGCAAAGCCACCAAACTTCAGTGAAGCCCAGTTTCCTCGTGCAGAGGACAAAACTGATCCTAACGCCTACCTCGTGGAATAGTGGAGAGGATGCTGGCACGGGGTGAGAGGAGGGAAAGTCAGCTACTGTCATTGCAAAACCACAAATAGACCGTGAGGCCCTTGAGGGAGGAGCCGCAGACACTCTCTATCCTCTGCGCCCCTCGCAGCCCTCAGAGCAGGTGAGCAGGTGGGAGGGAGGCTCTCGACGCCTACGCGGTGGGGAGGGGTTCACAGATTCCAACACAGAGAGCAGGGGCTTGTGAAAGTTTGTTGAATAAAGTAAAGCAAGAAGCCATTAGAAATGTAACATCCACTCGGGCAAAGATTTTGGCAATGGTCTAAACAAGGCAAGGTTTGGGTCCCCAAATCTGGGCTGTGGCGGAACGACAGGCAGAGGGGTGATGGGGTGGGAAAGAGGTGCTCAGATCACAGGGACACCTCTGACAAAAATGGTGACGGCTGGGGTGAGGCTTTGTTTTTAATGGATTGTTTCATTTGGCCATGATAGCAACCTACAAAGTACGTGATGGCCCCAGGCTGTAGACGAGGGAACTGAGACTCAGACTCAGGGGAAGGGACTGCTCAAGGCCCTGCAGACAGGATGTGGGGGAGATGGCCTTGAACTGGAGGCCACCTGCCCCTGGGGCCTTGATCTGGCCTGAGGATGCACTGGGCCACTGGGGCAAGGCTGAAAGGGCTTGGCTCTCACAACAACTAGCCTGGACCTTTTCAGGTGCCTCTGGTTTCTTCGGCAAAAGGCCCAGGACGCCCCAGAGCCCTTGCCTGCCACCTCTTGCCCAGCTCTGCCAGGCATAACGTGCTCCCGCTGGGTCAGCTCGCAGAGGTGTGGTTACACAACAAGACTGTTTTCTCAGCCAGGTGGAAGGGTGTGGGGACGAGGAAGAGAGGCATGCTGGCAGTGGATGCCCAGATATCTCTGTCCCAAGAGGCCAAACAGGCAGCTGCCTGGGGGGAGGGTGATGCCCCGGCTGGAAGCCTTCCCGTGGCTGGACCCTCTGAGCAGCTGTCCGGCTCTGCCAGGTCTGGGGATGGCAGTCCATCTGCTCACTGATGCTCTGGGAGCTCAGGCTGCCTCATGACGTGTGGGCAGTGGTTAGGAGCTGGACCGCAGGGTCAAGTGCCAGCTCTGCTTGTGACCCAGGCGGATGATCTACCCTCTGTGCCTCAGCCCCCTGCGGTGCAAACCTGGGGCCAATAACAGATGCCCCAGCCCACAGGGCTGTTGTCAGACACCCCGAGATAAGGGGTGGTGAGCACTCAGCCATGCTGAGCTCACCGGAAGTGCTCACCAAAGCATGAAAGGGACTACTGGGTCCACCCCGACCCTGATTAAGGATGGGGAAACTGAGGCCAGTGCCTGAGTCAGGCTTTCGATGGTGGTTTCCTGACCCCAGGGCCCACGTCTTTCCCAGTGTCTCTCACTGCCTGTCTGGGGTGAGAACCTGTATTCTTAACAACCATTCAGGGGACTGTGACAAGGAGCACGTTTGCCCCCGCCCCTTGGTGGGAGGGGGCGGATGGGGCAGCAGAGCCCTGGTACCTTGAGGATGGAGTTGTCCTGTCGGGTGTTCTTCGTGTCGTATCCCTCCAGCAGGCAGCAGCGCACTGTGGAGCCTGAGCCTGCAAACTCCGCCAGGTTCAAGTCGGCAAAGCCCAACTGTGGGGACAGAGAGGGTGGGAGGCTGAGGGGAGTGCGGGCGCATGGCTGGCAGCCCAAGGGTTAGCTTGGCAAGGTGGGATGGGGAGGGGAGGCAGAGCCCTCGGGCCCGCCCCACAGCCCAGAATGACTGTTGCATAATCGGCACCCAAGGACAGAGGCCCGGGCTGGCGGCTCCAACGTGGCAAAGCCAGGAGCTCACATCCCTGAGCTGCACAAAGCGCCCTTTGTGCCGTGTCCCAGCGTGCACCAGGGCAGCGCCCGAGATGAAAGGACATTGTTGTCTGTGACACAGACGCATTGTTCCCTGGGAAACAAGGCCGTGCTGTGGGAGCCACCAGGCCAGCGGACAGGAGGGGAGGGAAGGCCCGTGGGAACTTGGTGTTGGGCTGCGAGGGTGGAGGGCACTGCAGGGTGAGCAGGAGACCCTGGCGGGAGCTGGAGTAAGAGGCTGGTGGGAACTCCCAGCTGCTCCTGCGATGCAGAAGGGAGCAAGGGATGCGGAGGGGAGCGAGAAAGTGTGAGAACATGGTGTATGAGCTGAGAAGGCCTCCTGGGTGGAAGCCAAGTCTGCCAGACCTGGAGGTTGAGGTTGGGGGGATGCTGGGCTTGGCGACCTGGAAGACGAACCAAGCCAATCAGGAACATTTATTGAGCATCTGCTGCATGCAAGTCTCTACTGCAGAGCTTAGGGCACATGCTTCAGACAAGGAAACTAAGGTTCAGAGCGGGGAAGTGACTTGCTCAGGGGCTCACACACCTTAACCGGCAGAGCCAGAACTGACATCAGGCCTGATCAGCATCAAGTCTCACCACCTTTCTGGGCCTCAGCTTCCTCCTCTGATTAAGGGGAGCTGAGCCTGTGGTAGAGGTTTGATTAAAGAATGGAAGGGAAGGGCCTGGCAGGTCTGACATGTGACATAGCAGGTTTGTGGCGGGGAGGGGGAAGGAGGTGGGAGTTCCGGCTGTTTGCTGGCAGTTTCTTTCCTGGCTGTCCTTTACCCACATGCATCAACAGGAGGAGAAATCTCCACTCCGAGAGCATCTTCCACAGCCCGGTTCTAGCCACCCTGCCCTCTGTTTCTGGAGAGGGCATCAGCGTCCTGGCCAAGGCAGAGTACAAGGCCCGGTCCACTGAGCTTCCTGGGCTCTGGTCGGTGGGAAGGAACACGCCCTGCACAGCACCTCCCTCGGGCTGTCCACGCAGAGTGAGGTGAGGCGGAGGCATGTCCCCTCTGGACTGACTGAGCCCAGCCCCTGCTGCCGGGCGCCTCCCCAGGCCTCAGAGGGTGGGCAAGAGTCCCCACGAGAAGCGGGCTTAGGGCAGAGCAGACTGATTCAAAGCCAGAGGTAACCCTTCCAGAGCCGTCTTCCCCCACCTTCCCCAGTGGAAAAGGTTTTAACGTGTAGGCCTGAACTGTCTGTGGGCACAGGGAAAGCCCGGCAACCACACAGATGTGCAACAGCGGGGTGTGGCCGAGCCCGCTTCACCCAGCCAAAGGATGGGCCCCGCCGCTGTAAGACAGCAGCAGGAAATTTGTGATGACACAAAAATGTGCCCATGATGTATTGGTAAGTAAAAAACCAAGTTGCAGAATCTGTTTAGTACAAGTCCCTCTTGTGAATTTAAATATCATGTCACCTGCGTGTGTGCAAGTACACACATAGGGTGCGCCTTGTATGATCCTCTAAACCATATGCGCACGTTTTATTCACTGCTCTGGACGCATATTTCATGCTTTTTTTTTTTTTTTTCTTAGAAGGTCTGGAAAGACCCTAACAAATCAAAATGGTGGAGTCTGAGGAGGAGGCCTAGAGAGAAACAGGGTGGAAACCACCCTTTCACTCTGAAAACCTCTGTCCCATCTGTGCTGCAACAAGCATCCACTGCCTTTATGTTAAGTGCAAAGACTATCAATAAAGATATTTCAAAAAAATAGGGGCTTCCCTGGTGGTGCAGAGGTTAAGAATCCGCCTGCCAATGCATGGGACACAGGTTTGAGCCCCGGTCCCGGAAGATCCCACATGCCAAGGAGCAACTAAGCCCGTGCACCACAACTACTGAGCCTAAACTCTAGAGCCCGCATGCCACAGCTCCTGAGCCCACGCGCCTAGAGCCCGTGCTCCACAACAAGAGAAGCCACCGCAATGAGAAGCCTGTGCACTGCAACGAAGAGTAGCCCCCACTCACCGCAACTAAAGAATGCCCGCGCGCAGCAACGAAGACCCAACACAGCCAAAAATAAATTAAAAAAAAAAAAGATATTTCCAAAAAATAATACATCTCATGGAGGGCAGGGTGTCTTCTGTTTGGGGCAAGAGAGGCGGCTGGAGTTTCGTCTAGGAGCTTCTCTCATGCCTGTCCCATCCACCCATCCCGTCCCACCCTGCCGCCCCTTCACATGGCCCCGCTTACCTTGGAGTAAGCCTTCCCACCTTTCAGCTCCTGCATGGGAAACAGACAAAGGCAGCAGGATGACTAGGGGATCCCAGGGACCTCATGGGTCTCCCCAGTCCACCCCACCCCCCAATCTGACTCCCAGGGAAGGAGGACAAGAAAAGGGGTTGACTGACTCACTCAGGGCATGGGCCTAAAGCCAGCAATCCAGTGGCCCTACCAGCGCCCCCTGGCCTCTCACCTTGCGCACCGACACACGGAAGATGCAGGGGTCCAGCAGGCCGGTGGCCGGGTTGGCACTCATCTTACACACGAAGGTGAACCTCTTCCGCCACCGCACACAGTTCTCTTGCACCTCCTCCCTGCGGGTCAGAGGGACAGTGAACGCAAGGGTGCAGGGTCCACTTTTAGGGACATGAGGGCCCTGCTACCTTTGGGACGGGGAGGGAAACTCTCACTTTTCACTTTGTATCACAAAGTGACTGTATTTTCATAACAAGAATCTGCTTGTGTACGTGTTATTAAAAAAAACAACAAAAACATAAAAATAAAAAATGAAAAAACACAAGGCGAGGGTGAGATCAGGCTCGGGGCAGCTGTCTGTTTCCAGCACTGCCTGTCCCACCCCCAACCTTGCTCTGGGGTCTTGGGTAGCTCCTTCGGCTGCCATTACCTCCCTCCAGCTGGACTGCCACTGGCCATCTCAAGTGAGCCTCACAACGGTGTTCCCAGGATGGACTCCCAGCCCTTTTTACAGATGAAGAAACTGAGGCTAGATAAACTGCCCAGTCCTGCCCAGCCAGGAAACAGCTGGCCCTCGGCCCAGTGCTGCCTGGCTCCAGAGCCCCCTTCTTCACCAGTAATAATAACAATGATAATAATAATAACAACAACAACAACAGCTAACACTCATATGGTACTTCTGTGTGCCAGGCACCACCCAGAGCACATCATAAAACCAGCTGCCACAGGAGCCTTCTCCAAGTGCTGGCGATCCAAGGTCATGCTAACCCTCCCAGCAACCGTCTGGGGCAGCTACTACCCGTAGTCCAAGCCCACGTTCAAAGAAACTGGGAGCTCTAGGGCTAAGACCCCGGCCCGAGGCCCACCACTGGCAGAGCAGAACAGGGACTTGAACCCAGGCAGCCTGGCTCTGGTGCCACATGCTCAACCCTCCCCGCTGGGTCAGGGCAGGGTGGGGGAGGGGGTGCTTGCTTTCCAGCCCCTGGAGCACCTCCTGGATCTGAGGAGCACGACCAAGCCCACCAATTCAGCACCACCCCCCCCGCACTGGGGAGGCACCCTGTGCCCTGGGGGTGAGTGGGAGCCAGTGGGAGCAGTCCACCGAGCCTCTCCAGCTGTCTCAGGGGCCGGTGGGCCCCGGGGGTGGCAGCGGCACGTGGTGGAAATGAGCCCCCCTGCCACGGCAGGACGCACTCAGGAAGGGAGGGGCAGGCGTACGAAACATGATCTCCAGCCTCATCCCACCTAACAGGAACGGCGAGTGGACAGCTGAGGAAGTGACCACTCCACACCCTGGAGACCGGAGGGGCTCGGGTTAATGGCCAGACGGGGGCCGGTGGGCGGAGGGTCAGCACAGGTTGAGCATCTCCTGAACACGGGCTGGCCTGCTTCTCACGGCAACCCCGGAAGGAGACTCTGTGCCACCCCTTCTACAGCTGAGGGCACTGAGGCTCCCGGAGACCACCCAAGGTCACACCCCCAGTGATGGACAAAGCAGGATCTGAACTCAGGACGGTCCAACTGCAGAGTCAGAGCGCTCAGCCATCACCGTGGTTCACGGGTCAGGGGCTCAGGAAAGCCTGGCAGACAGACCCCCCTGGGGTTGTGGAGCCAGCAGCGCCCTAATCTGCACCCGAGGCGTCTACCCATGTCTCTGAGTCCCAAGTATGTGCCAGGTGCTGGATGCTGTGGTGGACTTGATTCACAGATTGACATCTGACAGTCACCCCACTGATGACTCAGTGTCACCAGGACAGGGTGGGGGAAGGGGTGAGTCAGGGAAGGTGACTGGCTGCAGGGAGGTGGCATTCAGGCTCAGACCCGAATGAAGTGGGGGGAGTAGCAAACGGGGGAGACGGTTCCTGGCAGAGGGAATCTCATGAGTGAGGAACAAACATACTCTTGGTTTCTCAGCCGATGAAAGCTCCCAAGCCAAGCCTCTATGAGGAACTCCCTCTTAGCCCCACAAGTCTTTAAGGATGGGACCAAGGCTTCCCCACATCCTGCCAGGGCTGTGACAAGAAGCAACAGGACTCCGTCGGGCAGACCTGGGCTCGCAGCCTCACGCTCACTGTGCAACTTGGGCTGGGGCCAATCACCAAAATGCTCTGACCTTGTTAGGAAGGTGAGCTCCAGCAACCCCCGCAGACTGGGGACAAACGGAAAAGGTCAGGGCTAGAGATCAGGGGGAGGAAGGGAGAGCTCCCAACCCGCCAGCGGACATGGGCAGGAACCCTCAGGAAGCAGGTGTCAAAGGAGGAGCGGGAACCCTGGGCTGGAGCACCATCTGACCCAGCCATGGCGGCTCTCCTCATTCATTCATTCAAATAATTGAGCACCAGTAGTGTGCCAGTCCCTGTTCTATGCACTGGGGCCTCAGCAATGACTAGCTTACATTTTGCTGGGAGTGGGAAGGAAGAACGAAAACAACTTCTTTTGGCAGATGACTTAATCTTGTATGTAGAAAATCCTAAGGAATCCAGTAAAAAAACTGTTAGAATACATGAGTTCAGCCAGGTTGCAATATACAAAAATCAGTTATTTCTCTATACAGTACTAGTGAACATCCACAATGAAATGAAGAAAACAATTTCATTTACAATAGTATCAAAAAGAATAAATTCAACAAAAGAAATACAAAACATATACTCTGGAAAACTACAAACTACATTGCTGAAAGAAATTCAAGAAGATCTAAATAAATGGAAAGACATCCCACAGTCGTGGACTGAAATATTTAATATTGTTAAGATGATAATACTCCCGGGCTTCCCCGGTGGCGCAGTGGTTAAGAATCCGCCTGCCAATGCAGGGGACACGGGTTCGAGCCCTGGTCCGGGAAGATCCCACATGCCGCGGAGCAACTAAGCCCGTGCGTCCCAACTACCAAGCCTGCGCTCTAGGGCCCGCGAGCCACAACTACTGAGCCTACGTGCTACAACTACTGAAGGCCGCGCGCCTAGAGCCCGTGCTCCGCAACAAGAGAAGCCACCGCAATGAGAAGCCCATGCACGGCAACGAAGAACAGCCCCTGCTCGCTGCAACTAGAGAAAGCCTGCATGCAGCAACGAAGATCCAACACAGCCACAAAAAAAAATTGACTGCTAATGGGTATGGGGTTTCTTTTTGGGGTGATGAAAATGTTCTAAAATTGACTGTGGTGATGGTCACACAACTCTGTGAATACACTAAAAACTACCAAACGGTACACTTTTTTTTTTTAAATTTATTTTATTTATTTTTGTTGGGTCTTTGTTGCTGCACGCAGGCTTTCTCTAGTTGTGGCGAGCGGGACTACTCTTCGCCGCGGTGCACGGGCTTCTCAATGCAGTGGCTTCTCTTGTTGTGGAGCACGGGCTCTAGGCACGCGGGCTTCAGTAGTTGTGGCATGCAGGCTCAGTAGTTGTGGCTCGTGGGCTCTAGAGCGCAGGTTCAGTAGTTGTGGCGCACGGGCTTAGTTGCTCTGCAGCACGTGGGATCTTTCCGGACCAGGGCTTGAACTCATGTCCCCTGTGTTGGCAGGCAGATTCTTAACTACTGCACCACCACGGAAGCCCCCAAATTGTACACTTTAAATGGGTGAATTGTGTGGTCTGTGAATTACGTCTTAATAAAGCTGTTACCAAAATGAAAACATGGTAGTTCAAATAAAGAGAGAAAAATGGAGAAAACAGAACAAGGAAGGTGGGTAGGGAGTACTGGATAGAGATGAGAAGGTGGGGGATGCTACTTTGGGCAGGTGGTTGGGGAAAGAAGCCCTTTGGCAGTGACGTCTGAGCAAGGTCTGGAGTGAAGTGAGGATGTGGGCTGAGCAAAGACTGGGGGAAGAGCTGTCCTGATGCATGAACAGCAAGTGCAAAGGCCCTGAGGTAGAAACAAGCTTGGCAAGTGGAGAAGCAGCATGGGGGCCAGCGGCTGAATGGGACTGGGGAGGGGAGCAGAGGGGACGAGGTTGTCGAGGGAACAGGGGTAGGTCATGCTGGACCATGGTGAGAACTTTGAATCTTCCTCTGACAGTGCCTCTGTCTCGCCATTATGGATTCCGGTTTTGGGCAGAGGCTGAAAGCAGCCCTGAGGAGGTGAATGGAAGGGTGAAAAGAGCAGAATACTTCCCAAGCAGCCAAAGGCCCAAGCCTGAAAGCAGGGAAAGCTAGGGGGCAGCCAGGGCTCCCATGTGGACCCTCAGATCTCCGCCCACCCCCTCCACTTGCTCGAGCCAGCCAGGAGTTGGAAGCAGCTGCTGGAGCCTGAGGAGGAAGCTCACAGTGCTGGGCGTGTTGAAACACCCAGAGGAATTAGGATTAGTGTCTGGGAACAAAAGCCGATATCGAATTGTGGGCTCTCTCCCTTCCCCTTTGTGAGTCTGCCATGGGAACACCCGGCCAGGAAGCCTGCTTGACCGTGGTTCCTGCAGGCCTGGCCAGAGAAAGCCATGCGGAGCCCTCCCAGGCTCAGGTAACAGGCTGTTTCCTCTCCCCCTGTGGGAAGGTGGGCAGGGGCAGGGCTCACGGGATCAGCCCTGGGCCTCCCTCATGTTTCCACAGGGCTCTAAACACACGCTCTTAAATGCCACCACTCCCATAGGAAGCAGCTCAGAGCCTCGCCCTGGCCCACCCAGGAGGTCACAGCAAGGATAAATACAAACACCCCAGCAGTGGCCATTCCCTGTGGGCCTACTGTGTGCTGCCTGGAACTCCTGAACGCTGCAAGTTGGGTGTTATCATGGCCCACTTTACAGATGAGGAAAATGAGGCTCAGAAAGGCTGAGAAACTCACTCACAGCTACAGAGTGGTGAGGAGCAGAGCCCGGTCTTGACTCCAGGCCCATCTGTGTCCAGAGCCAGAGATGGCACAGCCAGGACTCAGCCCTGCAGCCGCCTCCAGAGCCCTCTGAAGAGAGAGAGCTGGGCACCCTCAGTCAGGTGGTATGGGGTCTCAGGCACAGGGCAGGGATAATGGGGGAGATGAAAGATGAGCACAGGCCCTGGGGTGGGGGTGAGGGGGCATTCATTTAAAAAAAAAGACAGGAATTAAGATGGCAAGCAGGGGACCATGAGCCCCAGGTGGGAGCTTGCCAGGCCAGGTTTGAGGGGATCTCAGGGGCTTGATTCATTCGAAA